AAAATATTGCAATAAGATATGCCACTTTTTTAAAACTAGTCATTTAGCTGGAAGTTATTTAAAATAATATATAGATGAATTAAATATTAGCGAAGGTGAATTAAAACTTTTTATAGAAACTAGATGGACATTTGTGTATGAAACGGTTAATTCTGTGTTTAAACTTAAACTTGTATTAGAAAAAGTGATTTTTAATTTATTAATTAGCATAATTGATTTTACGAATGTTCAAAGTATAAATTTTTTTTGTTTTGCGGCACATATTCTTATATAATATACTATAGTGCTAATACTAATATTTTGAATAATTTTAAGATTTTAAACGATCATCCTGATGCTATTACCAACCAAGATATATGAATAATTTTAAAGTCTCAAGAATTCTTTCATGATATAGAACAAATATCCAAAATTTTTGCTCCAATTAGAGCTACAATTTTGCAATTAGAAAGAGCAGATTGTATAATGGCAGATTGTTTTATTCAATTAGTTTGTTTAATTGCAACTATTTCTCATATACCAAAAGAAAGAGATACGATTGCATTTCAAAATAAATGCATAAAAATTGTTAACAATCATTGAAATGAACTTGAAGCAGAACTATATATTTTAGTATATATGCTACATCCTGAATATTAAGGTATATATATTATTCTTTAACATTTTTAGTATATTTATATTTGTATGTTTAATAATTGAATTTTTTTTTTATAGTCGCTGGTTTAAGAAAGGAAATGTATACACAAATTACCCTTTATGCTGCACAATTATAGCAATTGATGGGATACAAAGATAAATTATCTACACAAACTTTTATTGCTCAAATTATCAAATTTAAGGAAAAAGAATTTCCATACAAAGTTGAATATGATAGCCAAGTGATAATACCTTTTATATGGTGAAGCTTTATTGAAGATAAGTTCGATAATCTTAAAATTTTGGCCAAAAAAATTTTTGCGATAACTCTACATAGTGCGTCATGTGAATACATTTTTTCTATTTTGGATTGGTTCTATAGTAAAAAAAGACAACGATTGGGGTTAAAAAATTTAGAATCACTTACTAAAATCTGATATTATAATTTACTTAATACACGTAAAGAGCTATTATATAATGTGAAAAACAAAACTGAAGATGAATTAGTAGTATTGATTCAAAGGTCTTATCTGTTTGATGCCAAGAATGAAAATGATATAAGTGAAGACTATGAAGATAAAAATAATGAAGAATCAGATAATGATTTAGAGATTCCTAATCATCAAGTAGTAGTTCTTGTTATTAATAACGTTGTAGATTTGCATCATCAAGTGTTTAATCAAGTAGGGGATTTGTATGTCTTTAATGAAGACAATATCAATTCCGATGTCGCCATGAATGAAGATCATGAATTTAATTTAGAAGAATTAGTTCAAGATCTTGAATAATATATATGTAAAGTCATGATATATATTATATATATATATATATTAAATACGCAATTTAAAAATAAATAAATTATATATTATCCCTTTATAAAATCACAATTAAATAAATAAGATAAAGAATATGTTTACAAACTACTATATAAAAGTATATAAGTAATTACATATATACACTGTATATATTGTATATATATTGACATAAGATCACCCACTTACTGTATTACCAGGGTAAACTGAACTATTTTTAATGAACTAAGTAGCCAGTGTGGCTGTTGTTAGCATAAAGGGCCAAACTATACTGAATTACTAAAGCTAATTGTCATGGTGCTGCGCAATACTATGTGATCGAATTGGGATTTGCATGAATAGCATAATCACAATTTAATTAAAAGTCTAAAAGAGTAATTGCATTAATATTGTAGTAATCATTAGCGATTAGTATTGCATGAACAATGTAGTAATAATTAGCGATAGTAATAATATATAAGGCATCCAAATAGGGGAAGTGCCTAACTTTGGTTTCTAATATCTCTAGCTTTTATTCTTAGTGAATAAACAGTTATTGGTAGTAGTATCTGGTATGATACTCTAGTTATCATTTAATAGCCAAGTGAGTTAAATACCAATAATAGAAGTCAACAAATATATAGTATTTTAAGGGACTCTGTGACACTAATTTGTCTACTTTAATGATTAATAATTCATTATCAACCTGGTTCTTAGCAAATACACATACATACTTTACTATTTTGTCAATTACTTTGCTAGCAACTTCCCCTAACTTAGTTAATAATTATTAAGATAAGCTATTTATTCTAATTTATCACTTGGAAATTTAAGTAAGTTATTAATTTCTTTTTATTATGTTAATTAGTATTATATTTTAGAGTAATTTAGAAGTATAAACCACTCCATGCTGGTATCAAATTATTAGCTCATTTTGCTCATTTCAAAAACAATCTAAGCCTATAATTACTTTATTAGTGGAATGAAATTATATAAGTTGTTATAATTCATAGACACCTTATTCGCAAATAGTTAGATTACAAAAAAGTCTATTTTATAGATAATTAATTCAGATAGGTTTAATTTTATAAAATAAACTTATCTGTGAACTAATGGTCAAAATAAGATACTGTTAGCAAGATCTAAACTAATACGTATAATAATTGCTGGCCATTTAAAGTATTATAATAATTTAATTTGCTATAATTATATGTAATTAAATGCGAAATAAAATACTGGGCTAATTTTT